TTTTCTACTATAAAGTTAAATGAGTATTTTGTGGGGGGATATTTTGAGACTAAGTAAACATCCTGTTTCACATCAAACTTGCACTCACTTTTTAAAATATTTATTAATATATCTAGCCTGAGTCAATATTATTACAATAGTTTGCCAAGTGCTGATTTTCAAATTTATTTTTCCTTTTGGATTTATTAGTTGGCTTGTACCATAGGGTAGAGGTTTTTCTACTACCCCATTTATTTACTTACTTATTATTTTTTTACTTATAAGTAGTATGGATTCATGATTTCTATTTTATTTAATGACTTATAATTAGTTACTGTCTGTTATTCTGATGTTCAAAATGACCCAGATTTGGCCAGTGGCAGCCCATTCAAGTTCTCTCCTGTGTCTTTTTGACATTACTCTATCATTCTTTGAGCATTTCCTTCTTTCTGGTACAACAAAGTGTTCTGGGCTCATCTGGTATTTTCCCTACCCCAGCTTTGAAATCAGTCGTTTCTCCAGGGAGTCCTGATTCCTTTTATTTTTGAAAAGTATTTAGAATCCAAGAGCTGGGCACTGGGTATGCTCATTGCTACTGGCATACAGTTGCATCTAGGCCTTTTCATGAAACAGAGCTAGATAATATATGTATATATTTATTTGACTGTATATATTTGGGCACATATAAGCACAGAGCTATATTTCTTTATCTATCTATTAAAAGCCATGAGTTCTTATCAATGCCTCTGATTTGGATCCACTACCACAGAATTTTTTCTAGCCTTTGCCTTTCCATATTTTTAATTCTCTTTTCTGACGGGGAGAAATCTGGATTCCTATTAGGCTCAATATATTTATTTATTTGCTCAATTTCCTGTTTGTCATCAATCTTCCAATCATATAACCATCTTCTTAGTCTCTGTCTCACCGGCCCTGATTGCATGGGCTGTCTTCTCCCCAGCTACGTGCTAGTCAAGTCCCTGGTCTGGCCAACATGTAGTTAATTCTGTCCCCAGCAAGCACACTATTAACATGCTGCCTGAGTCTCAGCCCCTCTTAATATGACAGGTGAATTTTCCAGCCCTTTCCATAGTGAAGGGTAAGGAACCATGATATTTTTTTCATGTGCTTATAGCAAGGTATATATGTTTTATTTTATTTTGGTAAAGTACTGTTATATCATAATATGTGTTTGATTTTGAAAAAGCTAAACATAAATAAAAACAAAGTAGAGAATATGGGTGTTAATTTTCATTGCTTTCCACCGTTATCTTCCATTATCTTATTTTAGTTCAAGCATTCAAACGTGTATAAGTTGACCAGTTACACTGTACAATCTAATTTTTCGTTACTGTTTGTTTTGGGTTTTGTAAAACAATGTAAGATTCTGTGTTTTGTTGGGCTTCCTGCCACATTTCTGATAGTTGGTTGTTTTTACCTTGGCATTATTCAGTGCTGTGCTTTTCATAGCTCAGTAAACAATCACAGTACAATTATACAGCTAACCCCCTGCTCTTCCCTCTTAGTTTACTCCTAGGTCTTCAGGATATTTACTTACAGTAGATCTGTAAAGTCTAATTTTGATCCACAAAATTACAGTAGGTCTGTTAGCTTTTTGCAGTATTTAACTTAACAGCAGTCTGTCTTTCTTTGACATGAACAATTTATACTGTGTTATTTGCAGTAACAGGTTTCATTTTAAGATGTAAGTATAGGAGTTTCATTTTCAAATTCTGATGACTTCTCATGATCATTTTTCAGAGAAACCCAGTCATGCCTGTGAAATAGAGCATATCCTTTTTAAGTTGAGGCTCTCAGTATAAAACCACTATAATCATACATAGAGTCTTAGTGTATTTCTTTTTTTTAAATAGACTTTATTTTTTTTAAGAGCAGTTTTAGGTTCACAACAAAATTGTGAGAAAGGTACAGAGATTTCCCATATACCCCTTGCCCACACGCGTGTATAGCCTCTGCCATTATCAACATCGCTCACCAGAATGGTACATTTCTTACCAAGGATGAACCTACATTAACACAGCATAATCACTCAAAGTCCATAGTTTATGTTAGGTTTCACTTTGGTGGTGTACATTCTATGGGTTTGAAGAAATGTATAATGACATATATTTATCATTATAATATCATACAGAGTATTCTCACTGCCCTGCAAATCCTCTATGCTCGCCTGTTCATTCTTCTACCCCACCCCTTACCCCTGACAACCACTGATCTTTTTACTGTCTCCATAGTTTTTGCCTTCTCCAGATGTCGTATAGTTGGAATCATACAGTATGTAGCCTTTTCAGATTGGCTTCTTTCACTTAGTAATATGCATTTAAGGTTCCTCCTTGTCTTTTTGTGGCACGATAGCTCATTTCCTTTTAGTGCTAAATATTCCATTGTCTGTATGTATTACAGTTTATCCATTCACCTATGGAAGCACATCTTGGTTGCTTCCAAGTTTTGGCAGTTTTGAATAAAGCTGCTATAAACATCTGTGTGCACATTTTTGTGTGGGCATAAGTTTTCACCTCCTTTTGATAAATACCAAGGAGAGTGATTACTGGATTGCATGGTAAGAGTATATTTAGTTTTCTAAGAAACCGCCAAACTATCTCCCTAAGTGGTTGTAGTATTTTTTTTTTTTTAATATGTTGATTTTTGTGTGTGAGTGTGAGGAAGATCAGCTCTGAGTTAACATTATATGGAATGCTGCCACAGCATGGCTTGACAAGCGGTGCCTTGGTGCGCGCCTGGGATCCGAACCTGGGCTGCCAGCAGCGGAGCGCGCGCACTTAACCGCCACGCCACGGGGCGGCTCTGGTTGTAGTATTTTATATTCCCACCAACAATGCGTGAGAGTTGCTCCACATCCTCAACAGCATTTGGTGTTGTCAGTGTTCTGAATTTTGGCCATTCTAATAGGTGTATATTTGTATCTCATTTTTTTTTAAATTTGCATTTCCCTGATGACATAGACTGTTAAACATCTTTTCATATGCTTATTTGCCATTTGTATATCTTATTTGGTGAGGTGTCTGTTCAGGTCTTTGACCCATGTTTTAGTCTGGTGATTTATTTTCTTATTGTCGAGGTTTAGGAGTTCTTTGTATATTTTGGATACCGGTCCTTTATCAGATATGACATTTTGCAAATATTTTCTCCCAGTCTGTGGCTTGTCTTTTCATTCTCATGACAGTGTCTTTTACAGAGCAGATAATTTTAAATTTAATGAAGTCCAGCTTATCAGTTCTTTCTTTGAGGGCTCATGCATTTAGTGTAATGTGTAAAAAGTCATCGCCATACCTGAGGTCATCTAGATTTTCTCCTGTTATCTTCTAGGAGTTTTATAGTTTTGTATTTCACGTTTATCTTTACGTAAGTTTGGTAGTGTCAATCCTTCAACTTTGTTCTTTCTTCTTCAATATTCTGTTGGCTGTTCTGGGTCTTTTGCCTCTCCATATAAACTTTAGAATCAGTTTGTTGATATTTACAAAATATCTTAATTGGGATTTTGATTGGGTTTGCATTGAATGTATTGATTAAGTTGGAAAGAACTGACATTTTAACAATATTGAGTCTTCCTATCTTGGGAATATCTCTCCATTTATTTAGTTCTTTGATTTCTTTCGTCAGAGTTCTCTGGTTTTCCTCATATAGATAGACCTTGTACATAGTTTGTTAGTTTTATACCTAAGTTTTCATATTTTTGGGTGCTAATGTAAATGGTATTGTGTTTTTAATTTCAAATTCCACTTTTTATTGGTGGTATATATAGGAAAGCGATTTACTTTTGCATATTGATCTTATATCCTGCAACCTTGCTTTAATTGCATATTAGTTCCAATAGTGTTTTTGTTGATTCTTTCAGATTTTCTTCATAGACAAGTCATGTCATCCACCTTCTTTTTTACGTATGCATATACTATTTTGCATCTCACTACTTTAGGAAATTTGTAATATGACTATTTTATTTATTTTAATGTTTATATGAAGTCCCAGTTAAAATAATGTCAAGTAAAAAATAATACAATAATAGAGTATAAATTCTTACAGAATCAATGTGTTTTTCCCTAACTGGCATAGTTTTTCAAATATGGGGAAATGCATCTCTTTCTTTTATTGTTAGTGCTGTTCAGAATCTATATTAAAAAAACTAGCGTGAACCATTTTCTTTATTTTAGTGTATGCTTGAAACGATTGGGAAGGAAAATGAGTTAACTGTATTTTTTTCATGTTTAATTTTAACCAAGATTCAGTTCTTAATCTAAATGGTTTTATGCCTCTGAGCCAATAAGGCACCTATTACTTTTTTTTTTTTATTGGTGTGGAAGACTGGCTATGAGCTAACATCTCAAATCTTCCTCTTGTTGCTGAGCTAGATTGGCCCTGAGCTAACATCCGTGCCCATCTTCCTCTATTTTGTATGTGGCATACCGCCACGGCATGGCTTGATGAGGGGTGCATAGGTCCACGCCTGGGATCCAAACCTGTGAAGCCCGGGCCACTGAAGTGGAGTGTGCAGACTTAACCACTACGCTATTGGGCCAGCCCCCAATTACTTTTTTTTTTTTTTAACTATATATGTTTGCTTCGTCTCTGTTTCTTGTTTTTTGTTTGTTTGTTTGTTTATAGAAATTAAAAATTAAAGAAGGAAGGAAAGAAAATTCAGTTCAAATAATAAATGACCTTTTAAATCCAAATTGCAATTCTGCCACCTAGTGTTTGCACGTGGATTTTTAAAAAAGCAGTATTCTTTTTCCTTTTTTAGAACTGTTTGAGTATACTTCTTTCGTTCATCCTTAGCTTACAAATTTAATATTAAGAAATAAAAAATTTAAAAAGAGGATCCATCTTTATTAATTACTATTAATTACTTTTAAGAAATTATATTTTTAGTATCTCACATGTTAAAGCTCATAAATTATTTATAAATTCATTGTATATAAATTTGCTAAATGTTTTGCCAGTGATTTTTATACAATTCAGTTCTATAATGAGTAATTTTACTTTCTTAGAGTCGAGGTGGGAAAAAGTTTCTTGCTGTACTGAAAGAAATCTTGGACAGGGATCCCTTGTCTCAACTGTGTGAGAATGAAATGGATCTTATTTGGACTTTGCGACAAGACTGCAGAGAGAATTTCCCACAGTCGCTGCCAAAATTATTGCTGTCGATCAAGTGGAATAAACTTGAGGATGTTGCTCAGGTAACAAAAGATCATTTCTGTAACTCCTTTTGGGAGTATATACTACTTTGCTGATTTCATGTCACTTGTCCTTTCATACAAAGGTACATTTCTGTAGATTGGATAATTTTCTGCAGGAGAAATTTTGAGGTTTTAAACTTTTATATATATTTTTAAATGATAGACCAGAACGTTTTAAGATTTAAAAATCCCAGATTCTGGGATTCTGGGATTTAGAACATAAATCATTCAGATCAATTTTAACATTCATTTCAGTTGGGCAGTGTTGATGAATGTTTGCCTTTAGGCAAAATAGAGAAAGGAAAAAGATTTTGCTCTAAAAAGGCCAACAATTTTTAGCTCCTTGATTTAATTTTTCAAGACTCTGTCAGAAAGCACTGGCATGTATTAAAGTCAATTGGTCATCAATACGATACAGAAAGATCCTTGAGGTAGTTTTTAATTAGAACAAATACATTTATTTGGCTTATTAAAATAATCAAATTTGTTTACTTGTTTGAATTCAACTTTTACAATTTAAAAGTTTTCTCATCTTGGTAAATCTGTACTGACTTTAAAAATTTAGTCAAGAAGTACATATTTATTTTAATCACATGCATTTTTTAAATCTTTGATTTTACTTCTCAAATTTAGTGTAGAAAGGATTTCTTTTGAGTTTATTTCTAGTGTCTTAATTTTTTGAATCATGTTACATAATTATATTATGTGCCTCATTTAAACTGTTTCCATATTTAGACCACATGAACATTGCTTATCCTGAAAAGGAACTCTTTTTGTCATTTAGATAGGTTTTAATTGTTCTGACATGGTTATCTTCTAACCACTTATTTATTTAAATTCAAATTTGGCTTAGTTTTCTATGAACCTCCATAATGGTGAAATATAAAATATAAGCATTTTTTAGTTGGCACATTTGCTTACTTCTCTTGGATAGTGTGCAGTTAGTTCTAAGTGCCTCCCAATCCCACCCTCCACCAAGAAATGCATCACATTATTTTGTATAGAATTAGAATAGAAAAAACTTCTGGCTGTACTCTTAAAAGATTTCTGAGAGAGAGGTTTTTTATGTGAACTGTCAGAAAATGAAATGAGCTAATTTATGCTTATTTCTTTATTTGACCCTTGAGACAGAAATTTTTACATTCAGGAATTTAGCACGCTTGTCTCATTTCCATGAGGGAATCTAAAGCATTGTTGTCAGATATAACTTAACATCTTCCATTTTGGTAGAAGAAAGCCAATAGTGTAACTTAATACTCAAGTAGAAACACCTAAATGTGTTTAAGCAAGTGTAGGAAAGTACAAATTGCACAATCCTAATTCTTTTTTTAGTAGTCTAGAAAAAAAAGTTAATGGAATGAAAAGTAATGTGTTTTGGCTTGTTCCCCGACCCTATCCCATTGCCAGTTATAGTGAACTGGTATCAAAGAATATAAATTCAATTTCAATAAATTTCAGTAAATTGACTACCTTAAGAAGTGGAGAGCTTCTGTGCAAAGTTTGTACTCTGATTCTACAGGCACAAGCTGTGGGTGAAAATTCTATAGAAGATTAGCCTCACATTAATCCACAAGAAAAGATTCTGTTGGCATAATGCAGAGGGATTTCAATAGTCTTTGCAGCAGGCAGGTAATTAATTAGCACTGCTTTCACTATTTATAAGGCTAAGTCAGGTTTCCCTCCTCTGATGCTTCCATAGCTTTCCCCCAACTAAAATGATGAGTTTTGGTAATTTATTTAATTTTATGTTTATATAATAGATTTTTTAATAATTGTAAATAATCTTACACAAGGTAATTACTTGCCAATGGTAGAGCTGTTTTTAATCCATAATGTAGTTGAACCTCTAGTATTACAGAATGTTATCTATCCTTTACAGTATTGTTTTTGTGAAGCAATGTATTTCAAGTGTTAACTGGAGATGCTAGGAGTTTTTTTTTTACTATTGTTTCAGACCCTCAGGAAATGGTCCTCCCTAATTCCTCTATCCATAATGAGGACTACTGGTCCATTAGGGCCTGGGGCAAAGCGGGGAGGGGGCCCCATCAGTGATAAAAAGTGGGGTGAGGTAGGTGTTTCATATCTTTAAACCAGTATTTCTCAAACTTTTTTCATTATTACACTCCTTAGGAGCCTTTTTGGACAATTTTTCCCCTAATAGCCCCATCTGCATGGGATTTTGATGCCACAGATAAGTGTATGTCTGTTTATATACTGTGTTTTTGTACTTTATACATAAAAAGAGCAAGTATGAAGCTTATTCTTTTTATTCAGTGCAGTTTAAGAATAATTAAAAATTTAAAGTAGAAGTTAAAATTTAAAATCTAACATTTCACTGTATTTGTTGAATAACTTTGTAATTTATTAATTGTAATATATCAAATTTCATTTCTACGTTAACTTATATAAATGTTTACTAATAATAGCAATGTAATCAGATTTTTAAAAATTATTCAGAAATATTTTTTCTGCAAATGTAAAACAATTGAAAAATAAAGTTAATTTCTTAAAAATTATCTTTAGTAAACTTAACTTTTTTATTTTTTTTTTTTGGTGAGGAATATTAGCCCTGCGCTAACATTCATTGCCGCTCCTCATTTTGCTGAGGAAGATTGGCCCTGGGCTAACATCCATGCCCATCTTCCTCTACTTTATATGGGACGCCGCCACAGCATGGCTTGATAAGCGGTTCCTCAGTCCGCGCCCCGCATCTGAACCTGCAAACCCTGGGCCGCCAAAGCGGAGTGTGCAGACTTAACTGATATGCCACTGGGCCAGGCCCATGAACTTAACTTTTAAATTTACTTGATATGAGAAAATAGCTTTTAACTTAGCTGCTGGATATTCATTCAGATATTGTTGATTTGTTGGGGGCACTTGACATAATTAAGAGGGGTTGAATAATTTGTGGAATTAAAATAATAAAATATAAACTATTTTTATTTAATTCTCAAAGTTCAGGTCTCATACAAAAGCTCAAACGAGATACACAGGCAACCAGCAGGTACTGACAGGCCACCTCTCACAACATGACTTGAGATTGAGTAGTCATTTGAAAGAAAGTCCTCCAGTCATTGCCATCTGTTTGCCATATTTTTGCAGCTCTCATCTTGCACACATTCTCTATATCTTCGTTGGACTCAATGTCAGTGATACCCAAGAAAACCAAACAAGATAATCAAGTATTAAAGAATAAGATTTTGTAAGATAGGATTGAGCTTTGGAGGGCCACAAATCATAATTATCAATATTTTTTTCACTCTCCTCTGTAATCAGTTTTCTTCCCACTTGCCATCCCTGATAAGAGTGCATGCTATATATATTAAAACCATGAGGAGGAAGAGACTCTTGCCAGGAGCAACCCTGATGAATCTCATGGTGCTCTCTGATGGGAGGGAGATAGGAGTCCTTTCTAGAGATTTGGGCTCTCTGAAACTAGGGTTTCCAAAGATGCAGCCGTGTCTACTTGAACCCGTCTTCCACCTGCCGTTTCAGCTCATCCCCTCAAGGGATTCTTTGTTTATCCTATTTCTAAATCATTTCTAAGTGACATCTATAAATAGACTGGCTGTATTTGTCTTGTTTATAGAAAATAAACTAGGTACTATTTATTTCTTATGGGTTACTTACTATGACTTAAACAGTTTAAATATATTATAGTCAATAAAAAGTTCTGTTAAGTGATAGATACTCTTAAAAATATTAAGAGCTAAAAGTAAACTCCTTCAAGATAATTTTACATTGACTTATTTTTTTTTTAAACAGTTTTATTTATTTATTTATTTTTTGTGAGGAAGATCAGCCCTGAGCTAACATCCATGCTAATCCTCCTCTTTTTGCTGAGGAAGACCAGCTCTGAGCTAACATCTATTGCCAATCCTCCTCCTTCCCCCGCCCCCCCCCAAAGCCCCAGTAGATAGTTGTTATGTCATAGTTGCACATCCTTCTAGTTGCTGTATGTGGGACGCCGCCTCAGCATGGCCGGGGAAGTGGTGCGTCGGTGTGCGCCCGGGATCTGAACCCCAGGCCGCCAGTAGCAGAGCGCGCGCACTTAACCGCTAAGCCACGGGGCCGGCCCTACATTGAGTTATTAATGAACTTTTTTTAGTGAGGAAGACTGGCTCTGAGCTAACATCCATTGCCAAATCCTCCTCTTTTTGCTGAGGAAGATTAGGTCTGAGCTGAAATCTGTGCCTGTCTTCCTCTATTTTGTATATGGGACGCTGCCACCACAGCATGGTTTATTGAGCAGTGTGTAAGTCCATGGCTGGGATCTGAACCTACAAAACCCAGGCTGCCAAAGTGGAGCTCGAGAACTTAACCACTACACCACCAGGCCGGCCCCTGACCTTTTTATATATAAATTGACTGGCATTAGCTTGAGCCTTGCAGCGTATATTTGTACTTCAGATTTTACCTTTAAGTATTTCATGATCGTTTCTTTCTCTGTCTCTGTCTCTCTCTCTTTGTTTCTTGCCTTTTAAAAATTACTTAATGGCTAATGATTATAGAATCCAAATATTCATTGTATCATTCTATTTCCTGGTAAGTACTTAATAGCTTTTTTTACTTGCTTATGTATAGAATATTTCAACAAAGACCATCTTTATTAATCCATATTAATAGGAATGGATTTTTGAGGCTTCAGTAAGTGTGTATGCTTCTCTTTTCTTTTGACCCATCTCTGCTCCTGTATGCCAAGGAAAAAGAGATTATTTTTTTCCCCTATAATTTCTGAATCAGTTTCAATTTTTGAACAGCTTCAGGCACTACTTCAGATTTGGCCTAAACTGCCACCCCGGGAGGCCCTGGAGCTTCTAGATTTCAACTATCCAGATCAATACGTGCGGGAATATGCTGTGGGCTGCCTGCGACAGATGAGGTACCTCCTGCAGGTGGCTTTCTTTGGGGCAAGAAACACTTTGGGGGTGGGTGGAGAAGGTGATGTCTGCTTAAATATCTCATAAGAAAGGAAAAAGTTGGGAATTATTCAGAGTTTAAAGCATTTCTCCCTCCCTCACTTTCTCTCATATTCTCACTTTATTCTATATTGTAAAACAAAAAACAAACAAAAACATACTGAGTCAGGAGGTCCTCAAGATCACCCTCAGGTTCCATGATTCACTGGGAGGACTCATAGGACTCAGCATACAGTCATACTCTTGGCTCTGACTTATTACAGGTAACATATACAGAGCAGAATTGTGAAGGGAAAAGAGTCAGTGGGGCAAAGTCTGGAGGAAACCAGGCAGAAGCTTCTAAGGGCTTTTTCCCGGTGGAATCTCATTGAATACACTTAATTCCCCCAGCAACGAGTTGTGACAACACATCTGAAATAGCGTCTGCCAGGGAAGCTCTTTTAGAGATTTGGTGGACAGGGTTTTTAATGGGGGCTAGTCATATAAGCACCCTGTGCCTGGCACATAAAATTCTAGACTCACAGAAGGAAAACGGGATGTTCAGCATAAACCATACTGTTTGCACAGTTTAGGCACACCTCCCACCTCTTATCTGTTAGGGAGGTGGGAAGCTTTGTGAAATCTATACTCCCATATGCCAGCCAAGGGCCAACGTTGTAAGCAGGCTTTTTCAAAGGATGGCACTCAGGCCTGCTATGTTAACCTTTTCTGCCCACCAGCCACAATTAAGAAATGTTAATATTTTGTCATTTTTTTTAAATTTATATTTTTAAGCAAATAACATTATAGTTAAAGATGAAGTCCTCATAATTTCCTTACCCAGTCTTGATAACTCCTTTCACTTTCCAGAGGCAACCATTATCATGAATTTGGTGTATATCCTTCTATGCCACATTTTTCTATTTTTACCACATTTTTATATCTATAAAAATATAGATAAAGGATAATATTGTACATTTAAAAATAATACAGATGTGTCGGGCTGTATGAATTGTTTTACGTCTTGCTTCTTTTTTCATTCAACATTATTAGGTTTTTGAGGTCAGTTTCTCCCATTACATGTAAATGTATTTTTTTCCTTTTACTACTGTGTAATAGTATTCTGTCACAGAGATGTATCTTATTTACTCCATTTCCCTATTGAGGAACATTTTATGTTTTCTCCACATTTCCCTATTATAAACATGCTTGTACAATCCCATTTGGGCAGTACATGTATGAGAATCTATGGAATTTATTTGAAGAAATGTCATTATTGAGATAATCTCAGGCAATGGGCTTTTTCAGGTTTATCCATTTTCTTTCTAGCTTCAAAAATGAGGGTTTTACTGTATGGTTATTTGAAAAATAAAAGTTCTGTGTGATATCCATAAAAAATTACACAAATTCTTCAATAGTGGTTATTTTGGAGGAGTAAAATTAGAAGTGTAAGGAAAGAGGAAGCCTCTATTTCTATACTTCCTTTCTATCTTTTACACTATTTATAGGTTTTATAATGGGCATGGCTTTTATAATAAACTTAATAAAGATTATTGTATAGATAGTTTTTAAAAATGAGGCTCCCACTTGCTCCTCAAACTCTGTAAGTTTGCATTGGAGACCTGAGGGGAAGGGGCTGCCTAGCTCTCCTGGGCCGAGTCAAATGTTTTTCTTAAATGTGTTGATCCCCCAGGAAGAGATTGCTGTGATCCCTATGTTCCATGTAAGTAGTTCTGATACATTTCCCTATGTTAAAGTTTTTGGTTATGAGGTTTTTTTCTTGATATATAGTACCCTGGGTTTCAGTCCCAGATCTGCTTTAGACTACATTGTTAATCATTTTTTGTCTAAGACTGTAGTCAGTAAGTGGGGGACTTGGGGTTCATACCTTACCTGAGTACTGGAATTGCCTCTGATGGGAGTGTGTTTATATGTGATGGTTTGGAGATGGACACAAAATATAGAGAACCGCTAACTTTAGTTAATTTAGCTTAGTTAATTATAATATTATATTATATTAATTCAGTGAATCAATTCCCAATTACAAATGCACTCATCTCCTTATCCTTCAGACTATCTGAAGTCAGGATTTTAATTGTTCATTGATTATTTGGGAGAAGGAATTACTGAATCCTAATGATAGGAGGGGAAAATAAATTGCTAAAGTACTGATGAAATTTTTATTTAAAATTTTATTTTAAAAAACTTATTGGTTGACTGAATATATATCTTTTTCAGCATGATCAGAAAGCAATATTAAAGTACCTAATTTTATTGTTAACTCTGGACTGATTTCAAATACAACCATCAATTGTATCAACCTATTTAATTTAATAAAAATGCCCCATGTATCTGTTCGTTGCTCCTTTCCACTCCCCCTCCCACCCATCTGAAATCCTCATATTTTCTTATGTTGTTGTAACAATGGAACAGTGAGTATAAAAATGCAACAAGCCTGACCCAAAAGAACCATTGCGTTTTAGTAAGTTAGTATTTGATAGTTTGATAGGAAGGGATCTTTTTCTGGCACTGGTTGTTGAGTGACTCACTCTTATCTTTGTTTGTTTCAGTGATGAAGAACTCTCTCAATATCTTTTACAACTGGTGCAAGTTTTAAAATATGAGCCTTTTCTGGATTGTGCCCTCTCTAGATTCCTGTTAGAAAGAGCACTTGCTAATCGGAGGATAGGGCAGTTTCTATTTTGGCACCTTAGGTAAGTCTTTATATTTCTATTTGAGTCCACCTTGTACTTTTGTAAATATAAACCAGCGTAATACAGTACATTGAAGAAAACAGACAGCTGCTTTAGTTGTTTCTGAGCCATCTTTAACATTGATACTCTCTTGGTGTCTTCTCCTATTTCTTGATACCCAAACACTTAATTTTCATGATTGGCGAAGTAATTCAGAGAAGTGTCCCTCCATGCCTACTTGATTTTTAACTGAAACTAATAATTAATGTATTGCTGTTTTCCAGTATAGTGTACTTATTGTGTTAATATATTTGGACTGAAAACAGACTTACTATTCCTTCCAGAAGGTTGTAAGTAGTAGTATCATCGTTGCTACTATTGGGGAAAGATTTTAAAGTTTTCCTATAGTAACAGCAACTTTATTTTCAGCTTCTTTGTTCACTAGGTCATTTTCAGAAATACGTGAACCTTATTTCACCAAGTTTATATAGGAGTAAAATCAGGAAAGAGAACTAAAATTCTTTTGTTTCCTAGGAAAATTTTGATTCCTAATTTCTGAACCTGTACTCAGACATTTTTGTTTTTTTCATCTGATCTTCAGAGTAATGAAACTAATGATTATCAGAAAAAAATATCTTTCCTTCTTTTTGGCTAAGCTTCTTAAGGAAAATAAGCCGTATAATATTTTTATGTTAATTTAAGGGGTTATATTTCTGTTTCTTGATTTCCTTATTGTTTATAGAGTTTTTCCTTTCTTATTTTTTTGTCTTCTTTTCTCATCCAGTTCAATCTTCTCATTTTTAAACCTCTCAGGGAATAACAAAATAAGTTATTTCTTCCTTTTTCAAATGTATATACCATTCTTAAAGTGATAAAAAATTGAATAGAAGCTAATTGAGGGATTAGTCAATTGTGTGACGTGAGGATGTGAGTCAAATCTCTGTTTTTCATCTTAACTGTCTATAAATTGATAATATTACCTTTTTACTCCAAAAAGCAAATAAGGTAAGTGGTAAAAATTTTGGGTTTCTTGGAATAAAGAATTAACTAATTATAAAATCTCATATCTTTTTGAATATGGGTTTGTTTATTTATTTATTTATTCATTCATTCATTCATTCATTTATTGAGTGAGTGAGGAAGATCAGCCCTGAGCTAACGTCTGATGCCAATCCTCTTTTTTTTGCTGATGAAGATTGGCCCTGAGCTAACATCCGTGCCCATCTTCCTCCTGAACTATGGGGTTTAAAGAATTGGAAAGTTGACCATCCCACTAAAAATTATGCACAAGATGATGTGTTCTTTTCTTTGATTGGCATCATAAGTTAATTTTGTAATAGAATAAAGAAGTCAGTATCTCTATTTGGTGATCTGAAGTGTTTGATAAACCATCTTAATATTATTAACTTTCTGCAGGTCAGAAGTGCACATTCCTGCTGTCTCCATACAATTTGGTGTCATCCTTGAAGCATACTGCCGGGGGAGTGTAGGGCACATGAAAGTGCTTTCCAAGCAGGTATCAACTTGTTTTAATCTTCATGTTTAATTTGCCACATGATATTTGATCAATTGTGTCATATGCTATTTCTCCCATCACATTATTTCATGGAGGTTTCAGTAACTGAACCTGATTAATACACTTTTTAATCAAAATTCAAGTCAAGACATAAAGTTTCAACAAACCTAGCAGAAGAATGTCAATTGAGTGCTGCCTGAAAAGTTAGTCAGGATTTCTCATAGTAATGCCATGCCTTAAATTTTAATAGGAGATACTTAGTTAGACATGCTTAACAATGGGTTTGTTGGTGATGGTGACAATGGTCATGAAATATTTAGACTCTGTTATTTCATATCCCTGAGTTACTCATTCCAGTTAGTATAGTCCTTATGATTCATATGCTCTGCCATTTGTTTTAGACTGAAGTATTTTGACACCTAAATCTGTAAGTGTTATAGCTTCTAGAATTCAGAATCCTTAAGCTGCTTTTTCAAACTCTATATACATGCCCGAAATTGTGATATTCTCCCACAGTCCCTCATCTTCTTCCCAGGCCCTCATTTTCTAATCATTGCAGATGATGAGATATTAGTGATATTAATAGGTCAGATATTAAATGCTTACTATATGCCAGGAGACATACTAAGTGTTTTAAGTATGTTATCTTATTTTACGCTCCTAGTAATGCACCACGGTAGTTACCAATACTGTCTGGATTTGACAGTGGGGAGACCTGAGGCTCCAAGAGATTAAGTAACTTGTCTAAAAACCCACAACTTTCAAGTGACAGGAATAATTTTCAAATTTAGATCTGTCGAGCTATAAAACTAAAGTTTTTGTTAATTATACTGGGAGTTTTTAAACCTTTATAGCAGCACAACTCTCTCTTTCTAAAATAAAAACTTAAACATAGATCCAATATATCAAATCGACAACAATATGATTTTTTCAGTATAAATATATTTTTGAGGGCCAGGCCTGCTGGCCTAGTAGTTAAGTTTGGCAACTCAGCTTTGGTGGCCTGGGTTCAGTTCCTGGGCGTGGGCCTACACCGCTTGTCTATCAGTGTCCATGCTGTGGTGGCAGCTCACATACAAACAGAGGAAGAGTGGCAGAGGATGTTAGCTCAGGGCTAATCTTCCTCAGCAAAAAAACCCATAAAATATATATATATATAAAAAATGGTTTTTTTTTTGAAGCTGAAATAAAATATAAGCCATTTAACAGAACCATGAAGCTGTTCTATTGAACCAGAATTTCAAAATTGTGGGTTATTGTTGACACTTGTACTCTTAGTGTCCAGTTATTTCTGTGTTTTGTTTTGGAGATAATCTTGATTTATACAGCTAAGTAATTCCAAATAGTAATAGTTTTTTCATAGCTTGTTTGCAAATGAGAAATGTAACCATGGCCCAGGCTTGATTTGCTGCTGGGTCTTTGGTCCCCTGAAGAATGAGATGAGAGCATTTCTGCCATCAAAATGAAGCAACACTGTATTCCAGCTTCTTCATGCTGTCATTCTTCATTGACAACAGTACATTCTTGTTCTCTAGCAGTAACGTTTCCTGAATTTAGTGTTATCTAACCCAACACAAGAAGATTTTCTTAATGGTTTAAATTTACTCAGAACCTACTATATTTCAGGGTTGGTGTTAGGTATTGGTGAGGTTAAGTCAAATTAGCTATGTCGCTGTTATCAAGGAGTTTATATTCCATGGGGTAGGTGTAATAATCAGTGATAAAGTGTTGATACAAGTATTGTTATGGGAGTATTATGGAAGCACAAAAGAGAGACATGCAACCTAGCTTAGGGCATTAGGGAAGAGTTCACTGTACAGGTAACACTTGTGGTGGGTTTTGATGGTCTAGTTGGTATTAGCTAGATGGAGAGTTTGTTAGTCAGTGTTCTACTGAGAAACAGAACCCATAAGATGTGTGTGTGTGTATATAGAGAGAGAGACTGAAGGGAGCGGGGTATGGAGGCTGAGAAGTCCCAAGACCTACCGTCAAACAAGCTGGAAACCCAAGAGAGCTGATGGTGGAGTTCCAGTCTGAGTCTGAAGGCCTGAGAACCCGGAGAGCCAATAGTATGTAAATTCCAGTCCAAAAGCACACAAGCTTGACATCTAAGAAGAGCCAATGTTTTGGTTCAAGTGTGAAGGCAGGAAAGACCAGTGTCCAAGCTCAAGGCAGTCAGTCAGGTGGAATTCCTTCTTACTTGCAGGAAAGTCAGCCATTTTGTTCTATTCAGGACTTCAGTTGTTTGGATGAGGGCCACCCACATTAGGGAGGGCAATCTACTTTACTTGGTCTACCAATTCAAATGTTAATCTCATCCAAAAACACCCTCACAGACACACCTAGAATAATGTTGGAACAAATATCTGGGCACCCCATGGCCCAGTCAAGTTGACACATGAAATTAACCATTGTGGGTCTACTTGGCATCCATATGCAGCTCCTTAAACCATACTTAATCTCCAAATAAATACAATAACAAGATCAAAATTCCACCTAACATGATACAGTACCCTGAGTACAACCAAAAATGCACTAACCTTTTTCCTGGAAGAGGAGATGACATCCTTGACTGTGATTTACTCTTCTCTTTGATATCCAAATTAGATACAATGATGTAAAATTAACAACACTTAAAAACTATGATATAAAATTAGTACATCTTATGTTACATGATAAGGGAATAAGAGCAGGAAGAAACAAAGACTTGAGAGAGAGAGAGATCTATCTATCTATATCTATACACATACATACATACATGCACATACATATATGTACACACACACAAACATATTTATAACAAAATAAGGAGGAGTTACTCATGGGTTGTAGATCTGATTTTTGTAATTGGTTACATGGTCATAGCTGGTATTTATTACTACCTTCTTCCAATGCATTTTCTATTCCCTTTGTCTTTAGCAAGCATCTCAGTGGTTGTGATTCTTTACCTGGTGGGATGACCCAAACCTTCATTTTTGAAGGGTCTAGTAGTCCTACCTGGGTTGGCTTATAATATTCCATTGATTTTTATCACAGGGCATGGTAATACTAAGAGATCTCCTATATTCTAGGCATATCCTTCCTTATCTGTATTGTGGAGTAGTAGACCAGTTTTCCCTTGGGAGTCAGGATCAGTCACTCCAGATAGCACTGTAACACCCTTCTTTGCCTTCTGATCCAGAGGCATAAAGAGCCCAAAGTGGCTGGGAAGGAGTCTTAACTTGCAGTTCAATGGAATCAGTGGAAGCATTCCTCCCTCTGTAACTAAGACCACTATGCCAGCAGAGCACAAGGTCACAGGAACAGGAAGCAAAAGGTTTGCTAGTGGGTCACTAGGGGTAATAGTGAGTGGTACCACTTTCATTTCCACACGTTGATTCCTGGACCCATGAATCCTGGCTGTAGGAGAAACAGCATCATATATTGGACACTGATTCAGAACATATACAGCCTTCTGGAAAATTTTGCCCCAATCCTGCAAGGTATTGCCATCTAGCTGGTGCTGTAACTAAGTCTTCAAAAGGCCATTCCACTGTTCTGTCAATCCAGCTACTTCAGGATGATGGGGACCATGTTAAGACCAGTGAGTTCCATGAGCATGAGCCCATTGCTGCACTTCATTTGCTGTGAAATGAGTTGCTTGATCAGAAACAATGCTGTGTGGAATACCATGACAGTGGATAAAGGTGTTCTCTAAGTCCACAGATGGTAGTTTTGGTAGAAGCATTGAGTACAAGGAAGACAAATCCATATCCAGAATAAGTGTCTCTTCCAGTAAGAACAAAACGCTGCCCCTTCCATTAATGGAAGCAGTCCAGTGTAATCAACCTGTTGCCAGATAAGCTGGCTGACCACCTCAGGGAAATGGTGCCATATCAGGGACTCAGTGTTGGCCTCTGCTGCTGGCTCATCGGACACTCAGTGGTGGCCATAGCCAGGTGGGCTTTGGTGAGTGGAGGTCCATGTTGCTGAGCCCATGCATAACTTCCATCCCTTCCACCTTGGCCACTTTGTTCTTGAACCCATTGCGTGATGACAGGGGTGGCTGGGGAAAGGGGCTGACTGGTATCTATAGAACAGGTCATCCTATCCACTTGATTATAAAAATCCTCCTCTTCCGAGGTCACCTGTTGGTGAGCATCCAGTGGGACACAAGTATCTTTATGTTTTTGCCCATTCGGAGAGGCCTATCACAGACCTCTTCTCCAAATTTCCTTGTCACTACTTTTCCAATCATTTGCCTTCTAGGACCATCAGCCAAACATTGATCACAGTTCATGAATTAGTATGTAATCTCACATATGGCCATTTCTCCTTCCAAGCAAAGTGAACAACCAGGTACACTTTCCAAAATTCTGTCCACTAGAAGGATTTTCCCTCACCACTGTCCTTCAGGAATGTTCCAGAAAGGAGTGTAGTACTGCAGTTGTCCACTTTCGTATGGTGCCTGCATATCATTCAGAACCATCTCTAAACTATGCTGAGTCTTCTCTTCTATGTCAACTGATCATAGGGAACAGCCCATGAGGCAATAGGTGCAAGCTGGAAGAGAGAAGGCAGTGTAGCAAGAGTGGGGACCATGGGCATTTGGGTCACTTCTTCATGTAACTTATTGTGTCTTCAAGGCCTGCTCGGGCCCAATCTCGTATATACCACATTTATCTGATGAAGGAGCACTGATGTCCTTGCCCATCTTTATGGCTTGGTGGGTCAGATGATGGGCAGTTCATAATGGGCAACTCAGTTCGCAAGATTACTTTGTGGCCAGTGGTTAACCATTTAGTTTCTATTAAGGCCCAGTAGCAAGCTAAGAGCTGTTTCTCAAGAGGAAAGTAGTTATCCGCAGGGGATGGCAGGCTTTTTTTTTCAAAATCCTAAGGACCTGTGCTATGATTCACCTATGTAGGGGCATGCCAAAGGCTCCCAACAGTATTCCTGTCTACTACTGACAGTTTAAGCACCATTGGATCTGCTGGATCCAATGGCCCAAGTGGCAGAGCAGCTTGCATGGCAGTGTGCACCTGTTGCAGAGCCTTGTCTTGTTCTGGACCCCACTCAAAACTAGCACCTTTTTGGATCATTCAGTAAATAGGCCAGAGTACAAACCCACATGAGGAATATTTTGCCTCTGAAATCCAAAGAGGGCCACTAGGTGTTGTGCTTCATTTTTAGTTGTTGGAGGGGCCAGAGCAACAATTATTCTTCACCTTAGAAGGGTTATCTTGACATGCCCCATACCACTTGAGCCCTAGAAGTTTTACTGAGATGAAAGGCCCCAAATTTTTATTAGATTTATTTCCCACCCTCTGACATACAAATTCCTTTAATTCTAGAGTAGTTCTTTCTTCTTACTGAAGTTCAATCAGCATGATGTAATGGACCAGAGTGATATGTCGTTGAAGGGAAAAACAATCAAGATCCCTGTAAACTACATTTTGACATAGGGCTGGAGAGTTGATAGACCCCTGAGGTAAGAGAGTGAAAGTGTATTGTTGGCCTTGGCATCTTAGGCAGACTGCTTCTGGTAGGCCTTATTGACAGGTATAGAGATAAAAGCATTTGTCGCATCAATAGCTGCATACCAGGTATCAAGGGATGTGTTACTTTGCTCAAGCAATGAAGCCACATCTGAGACACCACCTGGTAGATGTTATGATAATCTACTGTAAGTCTCCAAGATCCATCTGTCTTCTGTGCACGCCGAATAGACAAGATGAATGGGAATGTGATGGGAATCACCATCCTTGCATCTTTCAAGTCCTTGATGATGGCACTAATCTGTGCAGTCACTTCAGGAATGTGTTACTGCTTTTGGTTTACTGTTTTGTTGGGTAGATAGAAGAAGTTGTAATAACTTCCACTTGGCTTTTCTCACCGTAACAGCCCTCTCCACAGGTCAGAGAACCAGTATGGGGATTCTGCCAGCTGCTAAATATATCTATTCCAATTATGCATTCCGGAACTGGGGAAGTAACCACATGATGGGTTTGGGATCCACTGGGCCCACTGTGAGACAGATCTGTGCTAAAACTCAGTTGGTAACTTGACCTCCGTAAGCCCCTACTCTGTCTGATGGACCTCAGTGACATTTTGTGTCTCCTGGAATTAGTGTCAGTTCAGAGCCATTGTTCAGTAGGCCCTGAAAGGTCTGATTATTTCCTTTACCCCAAAGTGCAGTTACCATGGTAAAAGGCCATAGAGTGCCTTTGGTGAAGCCAGGAAAAAATCAGTTTCAGTCTGGCATAGGAGAATTCACAAGTGTCACTGTCTGATGAAAGTATTGGAGGAATTATCAGCTTCAATGTGGCTAGGTCAGTGGCTACATGTTAGAGAAATGAGTCCTGAAGGTTTACTACTCGAGTGTTTATTATTGTCATGGTGTAGTCAACAGACCATAAGCTGTGTATGTGCCTAGTAAGTGTTAGCAGAGTAGTTTCATCTAGCTGATATAATCTGAAATCAGTATATTCAGTCCGCTCAGCTAAAATTTCCTCTAGTATTAAAAGTTCTCTCCCAGACTTTGCTTTTTGGTACATTATTTTTCCCTTGTGGCAAAGACTCCCCCACGTTGTTACCTATTCTAACCTCTCTCTCATTTGAAGGCCATTTGTTTCCCTGCTTCTAACCATCTACTAATTCCTATACCTCTCTGGTATCCCACCCTGTTTTTATATCAGATGCCTGTAGTAAATCCCAGTTCCACTACACTTTTCTAACTCATTTGCATTGCCAGAGGAACTCCCATAGGTTTTCATAGATTATTTTAATATTTATGGTTTTCCATTCATGTTAAAACCAACTGTATCTGATCCCTCCCTTTTGGAAAGCCCATTAATGTGTTAATAAGAGCTAACATTTATTCACCATTTATTATAGGCCATTTATTCTTCACAACAATGTGAGATAGATACTATTAATCCCCTTAATTTTGTAGTCCTCTTAAATATATATACCTGTCAACCTCTCTTGTGTTCATGACTACCATCTGAGTCCAATCCATTATCCTCTCTCACCTGGATGTCTTCATTAACCTCCTAAATTGTGCCCTTTCTTTCCATTCTCCCCGCACTCCCATTCTCTACACAGCAGATGAAGTGATCTTTTAAAAATGTAGTATATTATGTCATTTCCCTTTTTAAAGTCCCTGCAGTAATTTTCACTGCATGAGGAATAAAATCCAAACTCTTTATCAAAGCCTGTAAGACTTGATAAGGTCCTTTCTTCTTTGACCTCACTCATATGATCAAACCATGCTGGACATTTTCTTGGTTCTCTGGGAACCTCAGCTTGACTTTTATAATAGCAAACATATGACAGATGTATGATTGCGTTATTCTTACTCTTTTACTTGATGAATATCAAGGGGAAGACTACACTTTACATGGCAGTTCTTGTTATCACTGTAAATCTACAAAAAGACAAGGTGTTGAAACACTTAAAGTATTTGACTTATATGGGTATTCAGGACACTGTTGCAGGAAATGGATATCCTGCGTGAAAATTAATGATGGGGCATGAAAATTTGCAACTGTATAAACATGGAAGAAATTCAAATTTGAAATACTTCAAAAAGTTCCCGTTTGCAAAGCAAGTTTTTCAGCTGGTTCCCTTTTCACCAGTGTTTGTATAACTCCTGAAATTGTTGAGAAATGGAGTGTCTGTGGTTTTGACACATGGCTAATTTGGCAAGCTTCAGCCATCTCAATTTTATCATCAGGCTAGATAGAACTTTCCCAGTTTCCTGTGAGCAAGCCTTCAGCCTGTCTATAGAAACGGCATGCCTGAATTCACCTCTCTACTGAGACTTAGTGGTTTCCTTGCATAGAAGCAGGGTTCAAAAATGAAAACATGGTGTAAAATAAATCTCTATTTCATGGAAATGTAAGTCATGGTGTTCTTGATGTTTGTTGTATGCATATTTTATATGCTTGTTATATACAGTTTATGTGTTGCTCAGTTTTTATCATTTATTGTTTCTAGTTTTAATGACATAATGATAAAATAAAATATTCCTTCAGATTTTTGATTGTTCAAGGCTCTGTCTTATGAAATTTTGCATAATATGACATGGAGAGACCCTCAGTTATAATATAATAAAGTTGGCTTTTAAACACATGGGTTTTGATTCAGTTGGCCATTGAGTCACTTTGTACTACTTGCATAAGTTTTAACAGCCCAAGTTACCTCATTATAAAAACAAGTAAATAAAAACAAGTAATTTAGTCTTGGACAACAAATACTGTGTCTATATTCATATTTATTTTATTACACAAAAATCTTTGTGTGTCTGTGTGTGTATCGGGGGCTGGGTTTCACCTCCCCACACCAAGGAGTGGGCAGTGAGTTGAGGCCCCCGGTGGCTCTGGGCACCAAATCTCACCCACGGCCACAGCCAAAGCCACAGGTGATTTTCAACCAACAGTGACACAAGAATTGATTTTACCTTATTGTTAGTGGAAAGAGAATATCCTGAGAAGTCATACAAGAGTGGTGACAAGAAGTAGATATTAAGATTGAATGTCAGGAACCTCTGGGTTACTTGTACATAGATTTTCCTCTTATACTATGGAGTTGGCCAGATGGAGTGGTTCAGATTGGTTGTATTTCAAATTCTATTACTCAGTGAGCTGCAGAGTTCTGAATACTTTAGGTTTCATACTTATCTTCTTACCCACACTGTATGTCCCTTTTCTCTAATTTATAAGATTTCATTTAAGAAAAGAGTTAAAGAAAGTTTGAAAAATGGTGCTTTAAGTAACAGGTAAATAAAATAAAAATATGTTTTGTTTTGTTTGCTGAGGAAGATTTACCCTGAACTAACATCTATTGCCAGTCTTCTTCTTTTTGCTTGAGGAATATTCACCCTGAGCTAACATCCATGCCAGTCTTCCTCTATTTTGTATGTGGGTCACCACCACAGCACAGCCACCAACAAGTGGTCTAAGTCCATGCGCGGGAACTGAACCCGGGCCACCAAAGTGGAGTCCACCGAACTTAACCACTAGGCTGCAGGGCTGGCCCCCAATAATACATTTTTTTATTCTATTGTATTAAATATATTTGTCACAAGCCAGGCACTGCTTTTATTTTAGCTAGTTGTGTGTATATGTCAGGGACGGGGAAGGGAGGGAGTGATTATTGAGTAATATGATCACTTTGTATTATGGTACTTTATATTATTTTTAACCATAAATGAATTTGGTGGTGGGAAAACTTATTTTTCAGGTTGAAGCACTCAATAAGTTAAAAACTTTAAATAGTTTAATCAAACTGAATGCAATGAAGCTAAACAGAGCCAAAGGGAAAGAGGCCATGCACACTTGTTTAAAACAGAATGCTTACCGGGAAGCCCTGTCTGACCTGCAATCGCCTCTGAACCCGTGTGTCATCCTCTCAGAACTGTAGTAAGTGAACATCTGTGCTGTTCTCAGTGAATCTCCCATGAAAATAGCAGTGCAGAAAGGATTCCTGAGTGACTGCCTTGGGGGAGCAGTAGGGCCAGCTGTTAGACCCAGTAAGTGGAATATAATTATTAAAGAAGGAATATCTTAAAGTCCTCAAAGGTTATTCTTGTGTATATTAGGATGTGTGTCTACCAATTAAATATACCTGTGGGGTTAGTGCAAGTTATTACAAGTTAATTTCTTTTCAATTGTATGTAATTAAATTTGTTTTGTATATTACTGGTTTCTAAGAGTTAAAAATCCTATGTAAGCAAAATATGGAAAATTATTTCTTTTTCATTTCCTCCAAAAGTAATAGTGGAAAAGTAATAATGTATAGTCAGTATATCAATATTCAAAATTGATCCCTTTTTAATAAAGCAATAATGAACTCATAATATTCCTAATTTTAATCCAGTGATATGTTCTGATTGTTATTGAACAATACTGTCATTGTTATATATATAGGTATATATATAACATAAAGTTAAGGAAAAATAAGGAAAGAAAAGGAGAATTTTAAATGTAGGTAGAGAGAAGGGCAAATCTGGGTTTTCAGTCCAGCCCATGTGGTATCGCTATGTGCCAACCAAGTCTGTCATACCTGTTGCTTTTCTACTGAGAGGAAATGTTCTAGTTCTGACTTCTGCAGACCTGAATGGAACAGGTGAGGGGTTCTCCCAAGCCTCATATATCACAGCAAAATTACAGTCTTGCCATATCTTTACATTGAGGTGAGCTAATTTTCCTCTTGTCTCATTTCAGTGTTGAAAAGTGTAAATACATGGATTCCAAAATGAAGCCTTTGTGGCTGGTGTACAACAATAAGGTGTTTGGTGAGGATTCAGTCGGAGTGATTTTTAAAAATGGTGATGGTATGTACTGAGGTTTTTACAGTGCCATATTCCTTAGTATTTTTCATCTGTTATCAGTTTGCTTTATCTGGAAGGTGATACGTAAATGTGTAACAGATGGCAGCCAAGAGGTAGCCATCAATGGTCATAAGGTTGAATTCAGCGTGTCTTAAATCCCTTTTATTTTCTTCTTGGAAAATGACTTCTACAGCTTACATACATATGTTGTTATAATAAACTTTCCTTTTTTTCCTACAAAATACAATGTCTGTCTATTCCTTTGGTAAAAAGCTTGTGAAATACAAGAGGATATTTTCAATTATGTATTCATATATCTTTTTTCAGTGATAGCAATTTGAAATTGCTGCCATAGTTTTGTATTTTAATTAAAATATCTTACTGACCCATAATTTATAAATGAAATGCATCTGAAGTAATCACACAAACCAGAATGCAGTCATGACTGCCACCACTTGTTAGCTGTGTGACTACAGGCAAGTCATGCAAAATTCATTGAGCTTCAGGTTGTTCATGTCCATGAGGATTATAGGATCTGTATGTTGGGGTTCTGAAAAGAAAGTAAGATAACATAAATAAATGTAGTTAACATAATACATGTTTACAACTATTTTAAAAAGAACTTCTAGTGTTTTGCTAGACATTTAACCCCACTTGACCACATGAATGTCATTATGTGGGAGTCAGTTCTTTCTTGGCCTCTGTTACCTAAGAAATACCCTTAGACGTGATAATTAATCAACTATTACCAGTTTTGCAAACCAGTCATACAATTACTTATGTGATTCTTAAGAACTTTCTGTGCATCCCTAAAAGCAAACAAGAAGGAAAACAATTAGCAGTGTGAATTGTGTGTATGCTGTAATATAGCATTCCTGTGTATAACAGTATTACAGCATCCATGCAATTAGTATGGTACCTTATACATGGTAAACAATAAAAAATATTTTTTTAGCTTAATTTCTGAAGTCGTGTTACAGGGACATGCTACACAACAAATCTAATATTTAACATAATGAATATGGTCAACATTATAATTTGGGGAAAAAAATTAGCACAGCATTTGTCAGTGGTTTTAGTTAATTGTGGCTGAATTAGCTAATCTTGAATTAATGTTATTAGGCATAAAATGGAAAGCGTTTATAGTAAAGCAGGGTTTTTTTTCCCTTAGATTTACGACAGGATATGTTGACACTCCAAATGCTGCGCTTGATGGATTTACTCTGGAAAGAAGCTGGTCTGGATCTTCGGTGAGGTTTCTAGTGAATTTATTTTTGTCTCATGTTGTATTCCTTCCATAGCAAAAATTTTAAAACTTTTTGTTGGTTCCTTCCTTTCTGCTATTATTATTGATTGTTGTTCATAATAATATTTATATAGCACTTTACAGTTTACAGTGTACTCTCAATTTAACTTATTTAAACTGCATCAGGTGTAAAACTATATATGTGATGGAGATTCCAGAAAGAAGGAATAGGTTTGAACTTCTAGTAAAGCCTGGACAGACGGCAAGAGTCACATTCGAACCTATGGTTTTGAAGGTGCTCTCAGGGAGGATGCACTGGTGGTCATGGGAATGACAAGGCCAGAGAAGGGCCTGCCCCTCTTGTTACTTAGCCTGGTAACATTGATTCCTCTACCTTCCCGGGAGGGAAGTGTTTAGGAGAGATCTCAGGGATTTTAGCTTGCCATCATTATTAGGGGTAGACAGTGAGCAGGACAGGTTTATGGAAACATAAACAGAAAAAAGGAAACATAGTGGATTTTAAAAGTTTAATTATTATCAGATCTTCTAAGGTAAAGAGCAGATGAAGGTAATTGCAAAGAAAATGTTTATGTATTTAACTACATAAAAATATAAGATTTGAGTGTCAACCAAAAAAGTTAAAAGTCAGGCCTCACACTAGGCATTATATTCATAATGAGCAGGACAGGAGGATAATAATCCTAAAAATTTAAAGAGCTCATAGATATAAATATATGGGAAGAAGATGTGAAATAGTCAGATAAGATACAAAATAAGTAAACTAATAATTATATGAACACTGTCAGTTCCGTTGTAGAAGTATAAATTACAAGAACAATTGAATACCCTTGATTTCCTAGCAAAGCTTTTGCTAAATGATAATCTAGCCTAGGACACTGTTGAAGCAACAAAAACACAAATATTTTCATATGCCATTGTAAATTAATGTAAACCTCTCTGTATCAAGTTTTCTTATACCTTGTATCCACTAGTTCTAGAATTTACTTTAAAATTAGAAGGATGAACAGAGATTAATGCACAAAGATATTCATCCTTGCTTTATTTACAATTAAAAAAATTAGACCACCCTTTTGAACATTTGCTCAGTAATAGAATAATGGTTTTAAAAAATTATTAGTTTTTCCATGTGACCAAATATCTCGGGTATTTTAAAATATTTTTTATAGAATTTGGAGAAAGTGCTTATCTTCAAATATCAAATGAAGTAAGTGAGATGCACAAGTATTTTTATGGAATTATTTCAACCGTGTTAAAAATTCACTGGAAAATAACACACTAAAATGTTGACAGAAACTAAAATGGTAATAGACATTATTTCTGGGTGGTGGGATTAAAGGTGGGATTAAATTCCCCTCCCACCTTTGTGTACCTCTTTCTCTAGTTTTCTATAATGGGCGTCTACTTCTTTTTTAATCAAGGAGAAAAAAAACATTAAGCATGTTTCATGATATAATATAGATCCATACAGTTTTTAAACTTTTTTTCTGTGTTAGTTGATGATGATTGACTTCGTTTTTTACCTAATCGTTTATATTTTATTTTTTTTATTTGTGGACTATTTCAAACATGAAAGTATAGAAGATAATTTACAACAATTTTATGTTCTAGCACTCAGATTTAATAAATATGTATCTAGCAATTAAATGACAGATATTAACATGTTTCATATTTACTTTTTAAAAAAAAGAATTATGGGCCGGCCCCGTGGCTTAGCGGTTAAGTGCGCATGCTCCGCTGCTGGCAGCCTGGGTTTGGATCCCAGGGGCGCACCAACGCGCCGCTTCTCCAGCCATGCTGAGGCCGCGTCCCACATACGGCAACTAGAAGGATGTGCAACTATGACATACAACTATCTACTGGGGCTTTGGGGAAAGAAAAAAGGAGGAGGATTGGCAATAGATGTTAGCTCAGAGCTGGTCTTCCTCAGCAAAAAGAGGAGGATTAGCATGGGTGTTAGCTCAGGGCTGATCTTCCTCACAAAAAATAAAATAAAAAAAAGAATTAAATGAGCAGATAAAGTTAATGCATTCTCATCCTGTTCTGTTGCCTCACATTTCAGAATTAACCATTCTTATAAAGCTGTAATATATATATTTTTGTGCTTTAACTATATATTATGTATCCATTGTATGCTTTGAACTTTAAGTAAATGGTATCATATCACGTGTAACTTTTTGCGGTTTACTTTTTTCTCATAATATTTTTTGAGATTTATTAAGATTAATATGTGAAGTTCTAATTCATTATGTTCACTTCTGTATTAATGCTTTGAATAAATACAAAAATTTATCCCTTCCCCTATTAGTGCCTGTTTGTGCCATGCCTTCCCCTGCCCAAAAAAACACCCCTACAGTTTACACACTTCTAAGTGTCTATTCACATATGGAGGAGTCTTTTAGTTTATATAGCCGGAAGTAGAATTGCTGGGTCATAAGGCATGTGCATTTTCAACTTTGCTACCATTGCCCAAATGCTTTCCAAAATAGTTGTTAACACTTTTGTTTCCACCCAGAAATATCTCCTTGCACTATGTTAATTTTTTGCAAATCTAGTGGATATAACAAGGTATCTCATAGAATTTTAATTTAACATTTCTTTTATTAGTTTGAGTGAGTATGCTTTTAATGTTTATAAGTATTGTTTTCTCTCTCCTATAAATTACCTAAGTTTCTTTCAAGTTTATGCTTTTTGTTCTATTATTTTAAAAATTCCTTCCCTTATAATTGTCTTAAAGATATTCTTTTGTGTTTTATTTTGCTAATTTTAAACTTGGTGTGCTTTCCCTTCTTCTTCTATCTCTGCAAAAGTTTGGTCCTGGTGTTGATTTTTTGGAGTCTAGGTTTTGTTGACTACTTATTTTCCTTAATGGTTATTGCACTCTTCAGATTGTATTCCCTCTTGAGCCAGTTTTGAGGCTAAGAATTTTCCAGTTCATCAGTGTTTTCAAATTTAATACCATACATTTTTTATAATATCCTCTTGTAATTTTAAAATCTCTGCTATTTTTCTTCCTTTTGCATGTGTAAAATTATTTTATAAACAGTGTTTTGTCTTTATTAGTCATATTAGAGGTTCCTTCTTAGTATTTTACAAAAATGGGCTTCTAATTTTGTGCGATTTTTTTTGTTTGTTTTCTATTTTATCATCTTTATGGTTTCCTTCCTTTTACCTGTGTTCTTTTTTTTTTTTATTGTGGTAACATTGGTTTATAACATTATATAAATTTTAGGTATACATCATTATGTTTCGATTTCTGTGTAGACTACATTACATTCACCACCCAAAGACTAATTACAATCCATCACCATACACATGTGCCTAATCACCCGTTTTCATCCTCCTCCCTACCCCCTTCCCCTCTGGTAACCACCAATCCAGTCTCTGTCTCTATGTGATTGATTGTTGTTGTTTTTATCTTCTGCTTAGGAGTGAGATCATACGGTATTTGACTTTCTCCCTCTGACTTATTTCACTTAGCATAATACCGTCAAGGTCCATCCGTGTTGTCACAAAGGGCCAGATTTCATCATTTCTTATGGCTGAGTAGTATTCCATCGTGTATATATACCACAGCTTCTTTATTCATTTGTCCCTTGATGGGCACTTACGTTGCTTCCACCTCTTGGCTATTGTGAATAATACTGCAGTGAACATAGGGGTGCACGTATCTTTGCACATTTGTATTTTCATGTTCTTTGGATAAATACTCAGCAGTGGAATAGCTGGATCGTATTGGAGGAATTTCCATACTGTTTTCCATAGTGGCTGCACCAGTTTGCACTCCCACCAGCAGTGTATGAGAGTTCCCTTCTCTCCAATGCTTGTTCTTTCCCTATGTTTGTTCTGTTGTTCTGATTTTTTGAGATGAACATTTAGAACGTTAATTTTCATTCTTTTTTCATATATACAATTAAAACCATAAATTTCCTCTAACTGCTGCCTTAGCTGCATCCCACAGGTTTTAAAATGTACTTATTTATGCACTTTCATAATACTTCAAACCATATAGAATTCAATGCTGAACTACCTGTGTGCGTGTTGGGACGTGCCTTCAGCAGTCAGTCAGCTAGTTCAGAACTGTGCCTTAGCCTTAACTTGTGTAAAGCCTCAGAGTCGCAAGAGGTGAGAGCTAAGGTCTTATAAGTCCTTTCCTGTATGTGTGCACAGCCCTGGGCATCCACATGACCTTCCAGATTCCTAAAATATGTTGGAGTTTTTCACTGTACCCTGTGGATATGCCACTCACCAGCTCTTCCTTTTAAGCTTTTGGTTAGCCTATTGTTTGCCTCAACTATTATTTACCCCTTAGCTGCAGTATTAAACTATTGATTCTGGTTATTTTCAAGAAACGTCCCCAGGTAAAAGGCACTTCACACCAGATGAGGTTTGATCAAGTCAAAGAAATAGAATTGCAAGTGGGATCTTCCTGGGAACGACCAGAGAGTTCAAAGAATGACAATTCTGTGAAATGGGATTTTGAAGGAGCTCTAGCTCCATTTTTGCCCCCTCTAGTAGACACCAAATTGTTGTGTTCACCATGATTGTGGGCTGTTCATTGTCAAATCTACTGCAGAACTGAGAAGAGGGAGGATTGGAATAGGTCATGGTAAAATACAAGTGAGATTCAGCTGTTTTCTTCAACAAACCCTCCGCAGATTGCCACAAGCCTTTCTTGTATTTCCATATTACTGAAATAGTTGATTCTGACAATTTTTTGCCAGTGTTCTTGTTGCTTTTATGGAAGAGTGGATTTTCAGAAACCCTTAACTCCTTGTTTTTGCTGACATCATGTGGTTATAGAATTTTTAAATCTAAATTGACAGCTGCTTTCCTTAGAAAACTTGAAGACATTATTCCATTATATTCTGACCTCTGTTGTTATTTTTTAAAAGTCTGCTGTCAGGCTAAATAATTTATTCTGTCTTCCAGTTCACATTGTCTGATCTTTTGTGTATTCAGTGTAGTGTGTTTATTTCAATGACC